CAACCCCCGAACTTGATTGTTTTTATTGACTTTCTGTGATCTGTTTCCTAATTAACATTCATTGTGTACAATTTCATCAACAGATGGACAAACCTGTGGACAGGCCGTCGCCACGCATGTCTTCCGAACACAAGTCTGACCTGGTAAATCGCAGACAGGAACATTTGAAGACTCTGCCTGCAGGTAAAAGCAGCGCCCAGCTGGTAAGCGAGAAGAAACAATTGATTAGAAACGAGAAGGAAAAGATGGCAGAAATAAAAGCATCTAGGCTCTCACCAGAAGAGAAATCCTTGAAATTAGAAAGTCTAAGGAGTGAATACAGAAGCGAAATAACTGCTCTATCGAAGGAGGCTAAAACCGCCGCCAGGCTTGAAGACGGGCGTCGACGCACATTCCAACAGGTGAAAGAAGCACGTAAATCTGGAAAGAGAAGCAACCCAGCACACCCTTAATTGGGTATATCGAAAGAGAAAATTCACTAAAAATATCTTGTATAATTGATGTAATGTATTTTTCACTATAATTTAAATATTTAATTTATAATTTTTTTTATTGACGTTTATTTCACCTCCAGATTTTCAAATAAATTATTGCAATAATCAATATACATGTAGTATTGTACATGATCACCAGATCCGGGTGGGGGGCTCGTGCGATTCAAAAGCAACTAGTTTACAATCGAATACGCATTGCCTATACTTGTATTTATGGGAATCTCCTCCGTACACTTTCATACTGTCGGGTAAACTTGGCATAACGTGATATAATGCAATTTCGTATCCCAGAATTCGAGCATTCCCAATCTCCCAGTTATGTACATTGAGAAAACTTGAAGCTAATTTTCTATTGAAACTACGACGTCACACAATAGTATTGGAAAGTAATTGTCTAATGGAATTACTGACAACGCAGTAAGAACACCCGGGCGACTTCTACACATTAAATTGAGCTAAACGGTTGAGAATGACACAACGCTATTAAAAAAAATAGTATCGATTTGTGGCTTAAATATATTAAAACGCGTTCTATTCCGCTTATCAGTTCGGCTATTTCAAACTTCGAAGAATATTGTGGCTAACTATAAACACCACCCCTATGAAATTCTTAGTGTTAGAATCGCCCGGAGTGCAGGCGGTCAGTGGCCTTTGCTATTACGGATTATCGATGCTGAATATGTGAGCTGTCAAATTTGGTCCCTCTTTGAACCAAAATGTCTTTTGCTGAACATAACCATAGAAATCATTAAATACATTGATCCCTCGCCCTCCCAAAATGATGATAGTCGAGCTTTAAACAATAACAATAACTGGTGGGGTTTCTGCTGTGTGAAGTCAACGTATTTATTTTGTTGACTTTTTATTTGCACAGGAATATACATGTTCGCATATTGGTAGAACCCCCCCCCCCTACCACCACCACCGTTCACTTTCCAGAGTAGTATTCCACAGGTAATGTGTAAATATGTTCATATCGTGAACAATAAGATACAATTTATTTAGGTGTAGTTGCTCAAAATAGTGTTCCGATAACTGGTCATCAAAGAAAAAAAAGCGTTGGTGGTACGTAGTTACTATCCATGGTATTCTTTTTCGGTATTAAACATATTAATTTGTATAGGAAACACTTGAAATATAGCTGCAATCATTAAAAGATAGTTTATAACAGTGTTTTCTCCTGACCTGATGAACTGTTCTCTGGTAGAATGTCATGTACCATTCAAGCGAATGATAGGTGGCGCTGTTCGATGGAATGGTATTAACGCCCTCAGTGATGGATTGTAATTCTTCTTCTGTAACTAAGATACGCTAGAGCGGTGCTCACCGCGAAGCGCTGTGATTTACTGTCGGACACATACATGCTATTTATCAGTGCGTCATATTTCTCACATTTTTCAGAAATCTAAAAAATAATATTCCTAAGCCCCCCCCCAATGAAAAAATTTAGCTACCTTTCTATGTAATCGATAGGCTCTTTTTGTAACTACTGTCTGACAGCATACATCCCGAGATTCGTTCATTGGTGGGAGCCCCCAATCTCTATTTTCATCTAGTTCTGTTAAAAACTACGACGCAAATAATTTAACTAATACATACCAACGAGTAGAAGGGGATACCGTAAGAAAATCTCATTGCACTACTCTAATATCTTCAAGACAGTTCCACAGAATGTTTACGCACAGCCCCTCTATCGGACTGTGGTCTACGTCACACTTTTAGCTTCCTTTTAATATTTTCTATCTTTACGCATACTAGTATAAAATATTCACTGTCTTTTGATTTATTGTATTTGTTACCGGTATATTTCCTTCCCTGCACAACCTCAGTTGTGGTGATATACATTCACCAAACGATCCCCACCCCATGACAGCGGACGAGCTGAAGAGAGAAGACTTATAAGATAAGCACGCTACCAGAGACGTCTATTATTAGACCTGTATTGAATATAAGCTCCCAGCTCCCGAATACTGAGTGGCCCCACAAAGGTCCCTCCCGCATTTGACGTCAAACAGACAAATTACGTGATAAATAACAACTCATGGAGGCAACAACCAATGTCACTGATTAGTTTAATATATTTACTTGTTTAACACATCTATTGTAAATAGCAACGACAAGCATTGGACAGGATATGTCTATATTGTTTTAGCCATTTTGAACGGTAACTATAAATATATTAAGGTTAGAGTCAAAGTAACGATTATGTCATGGTCATCATTTGGGTTTATGCCATCGGGATACCGGAAATGAAAAAAAGAAATTGAAACTTGAAACCGGAATGTTTCTATTTAATATTTCTTCATATCTCAACATTTTTTCTCAGTTATATCATGACATAAATCCTAATATTAAAAAAAAATAGTTTCCATAGTGACACTAATTCGGCTCGAGCAGCCTTGAAACTGAGGAGGAAAATGTAGTTATCTTACATAGTTGTGCATCTTTTATTACAAAATGACGAAATCGAGAAAAAAATACATTATCTTATTCAAACAGCAAACATGGCTATTATGAATAAAGAATTAACATCTAGATTGGCATAGTGTTGCTTTTGTTAATTACTAGATATACAGGTCTCAAATCGTGCATACGATTTTGCTGTTAACAATATCACACTGTGAGGGTCAAGTACGTAACCATTTGAATATAATAAATATTAATATTATAAGGTTATTACGAGAATACCTCAAAGTATGCACGAAGACGGTACAGCGGGAGTATCGACTGACGCGCAGCGGAGGTCGATGCGATAGCGTACTGTCTGAGTGCATACTCTGGGGTATCCTCGTAATAACCTTATTATTATATATCTTTTCCTACCAAAAATACATCATGGAAATGCCGAAATCTAAAATGTTTAGAACAGAATCATCGAACTTCTCTGTGTGGAGTCTGGTCAAACCCTGGTGGCAGCCATGTTTGTTTTTATTATTAGAGAATGCTTACGCTCGTAATATATGGAATTTGCATTTCCTAATATGGTAGAATGAAAATACCCCATAAAATATCGCAAAATTACGGCACGTATGGCGTTACAGTGTTTTAAGTATGTGTTTTAAGTTAAAAAAAAATAATAAAAATATTGAGTTCTCTTGTTATTTAACATTTACAGATGGATCTAATTTAGCAGAGTTTGCTTATTACTGGAAGTTTGAACTTGATCCGTTTGAGCATTGTAATGTACTGCTAGATATGGATAAACTGACATGCATCTGATTGCAGTTTCAACAAACACGCACACTCAATGTGCATGCTATATGTCCTCAGTTGTACATATATATGCAATAACCACATTCTCTGTTCCTCCCTTGTTAATATGCAAATTCAGCTTATGAATATTAATTACTACACTGTGAATGTGACACGGTACAAAATACAACCACTGAATTTGAATTGAAATCCTGGTAGACCAAAATAGGAGGTGTTTGCCTTTGAGCTTGGATCAAACCAGTGCTCTTTCTTCTGGTATCGTCACTTCAAAATTGGAGTTTTGTAAGTAGATTCAACGAAAATGCTCTTTTGTCATTGGTTGTACATGTACGTCCTTAGTTGTACAAGGACCAGCTAAAATAATTATGTTTAGTGACATCGTCAGGTGAAAATGTTGGGCTCATAGCTTTTTTTAAGGTTTTATTTTAAATTGTGGAAAAATTAAAGAAAATTTTCATGAACAATAAAATAGCACAATTTTGTATGCTAATTTTAAAATAAAAACCAAAAAATGTGCTTGTGCATTGATTGTGGAGTGAATTTTTGAGTGTGAATTTTTTTGCCTAAAAAGGCGAGAATAAATTTCTATCTCATAAAATCAAGCACATGTGTGACTGATCATCAGACTTCATTCCTCTCCACCTCCACGGTCAGTGAGTGAACATGACGTTGATTATCCAGCAAATATAACATGCTTCTGATCTGGATATGCTAATTTTTCAAATAAATAGAACAATAATTTCCTTTATTCACTATTTCACCTGATAGTTGTCAAGGCTACAAAAGAGCAGAAATTTGCAGACGACGGTGACAGTCTGGCATCGAGGTAACATATACTGTGGAATACTTTAGTTTAGATAGAATTAATTTTCGCTGAATAGACTTTTTGGGTGTTTTGTATGGAATTTATTTTCACTGATTTCTGTCAAGTTGAATGTAAAATATAGGAAAAAAGATATATTCGCTGTATTTTACTATCACTGAATCAATCCTTTAGCAAAAAAAGTGAAAATCAATTCCTAGCGAAAATAAAGTATTCCACAGTATCCAACAATTAATTATTCTCTTGAACTTTAACTGTGGAATACAAAATCAAGAATAAAAGTAGTAAAGAAAAGTTTTATTTTTATTCACATGCTATAAAAAGTATTCTAAAATACAAAAACAAAAAAATTTCCTGAGCTAACAAATTCAATCTTAGGTTCTCAATACACTTCACTCATAAATATTCAAGATATTCTAAAAATAGTTTTAAAAATATAATAAAACAATGGTAGCCTTTGCTGGCTGTGTTAAAACGAAAGTGAATCATGTGACTTACCATTGTGAATTAATCTAAAAAGTCATACTGGAAGAGCTAATAATAAACATTTTTTTAACAAAATAAAAAAAATAAGATTTGTTCTGGTTTACATCAATTTACTGTGACTGCAAGAAAGAGTGGAACAACAGTATTGCATTATGAGACACTTGTTTTCTAGCACACCAAAAAAAAATCACAGTTTGTACACATCACTCGTAACCCTGTACTCTGATTCTAGTACTTAAGAAGAAATGATTTTAGTGAATTCTATTATTAAAATTTCACATTCACTTGGCTTTCCTTTACCACATTTAGCTATTAGAGAAATAAGGATAATAAACAAATCTTTGGTTAATAGATCTTGTATGTGACCCCTAAAGGTCATACATCCTGGTACTTTCTGACCCCTAAAGGTCATACATCCTGGTATTCTCTGATCCTTAAGGGTTATACATCCTGGTACTTTCTGACCCCAAAAGATTATACATCCTGGTATTCTCTGACCCTTAAGGGTCATACATCCTGGTACTCTCTTACCCCAAGGGTCATACATCCTGGTACTTTCTGACCCCTAAAGGTCATACATCCTGGTACTTAAAGAGCCATAATGGTCACATATTCTGTTACTTTCTGGAGTATTGTTTTACTGTAATATCAATAACTTTCAATATCACACCTAATTTATTAAACTGTTTTTAAACTTCAATGAAAACTGTTTGAATGTGAAAATGTCATTCATAGATACTTTTCTTCTCCCCTTGCTGAGAAAGTCAAGGTGTGACCTTTCCATACAAAAGAAGTTTGACAATAACACAATCATCTGGAATCATCCTCTATTCATATATTATCTTTCCGTGATATTTTTTTCATTTTCCTTTTGTGTTTGTGTTTTCTATGACCCCTTCCATTGTCAGACACTTTATGTTGATCCTCTCTCGATTCCGGAGGTTCATCATCAGTCTCTTCATGACTGGAGCTTCCTTCTTCGTCATCTTCCCATCTTCTTTTAGACCCACTTTTGTAGCTCTCTGAAACATCTTTCCTTTTTCTCCTCTCAGAACTCTCTCTCTTTTTAGATTTTTTAGTATCAGATGAACGCTTTCTCCTTGACTCTGATTTCATACACACACGTTCTTTGCCATTCTCAGTTTCTCTCGAAAGTTTTTTTCTTCTTGATTTGGAATGTTTTCGTTTTGATTTATCATGTCTTTTTTGATGATGTTTCTTTGATATCCTGACTTCTTCTTCATCATCATCATCATCTGATGATGAGGAGGTGACCAACGATGATGATGACGATGAGGAGTCTGTCTCTGATTCAGCATACTTTGATTTCTTTCTCTTCTTTTTTGCTGATCTTTTCTTTTCCCTTTCTTTTTTGTGTCTAATAATAATAAAAACATGAGCATTCAGTTTTTCCATTTAAATGTATTTGATTATATTGATTTCGAGGTATGTAAATGAGTCTCTAGGTGGTAGTGGAGCATGGTAACTGAGCATCTCAGTTTTCACAAAAATACAAGTTGAGCGTACGCTCACTTTCAAAAGTAAGCGTGAAGCCAAACAATAGAAAGCTTGAGTGTGCTCAATTTTAAAAGTAATCGTGGGGACAAACCATGGAATACTGGAAATGTAATGAAAGTTACGCTCAGTTTAACCATAGACCCTCTATGGTTTAACATGAAGTTGATACAAGTTCGTTTCAGAGGTACAATCCAATCTGGATTCACATGAGCATGACGCAACCATATTTAATTAAATATTCACGCAGTTTGACCCCGCTCAGTTACCGCACTCAACTACCACCTAGAGACCTATTTACATACATGTGATTTCATAAGCCCCAAAACAATGGGTTATTTCAGTTTCAATTAAACACAATGTTAAAACATTAATTCATAAGACAAAGCATTTGTTCAGGCTAAAATCGTCTGGTAAATTCATAATTTAACAATTACATGTAACAGACGGCTTTTTAATTTTATCCTGAAAATCATCATATTTATGATTTTAATCATGAAAATTATTTTATTCTGATATTCATACAAAAAAAGAAGCTGTGACCACAGGTTTTTAATTGGCGTGGGAGGGTCTTACTTATGCAGTGACTTGATAGCAAGAATTTGGCACATCTAAAGTTATTTGTAACTCTCACCCATGGCAATTGACACCATTGGGTAAAATTAAATTTCATATAATGCATATTGCAAATAGTTATTTGCATGCCAACACAAATATGAATGTACAGGGGTGTCGCATACAACTTGTTTACCACTTCCGTGTGACTGAGAATGTTCTAGAACCGTACTGTGTCTGGGTGGAAATTTTAGAAGCTGGTTGAATAGGTAATTGAACACTGTAGAAGGCAATAGAAGGTAATGGAACATTCTAGAAATTTGTAGTAAATTCCAGACTCATAATGTATGCTGATGTAATGGTCTATTTATAGACAGTATGGGTATATATAGGGGAGTTGTTCAGCACTGAGATCAGATCGGAGATCTCGTTGAATTGTATTGGAGTTTAAGTATCTAGTTATTGGAGTAGTGGAGTTTTACCGCGTTATTGTACTTGATGTTTGCAGAGTATAATTATAATACCAGTACCAGTTGAAACCTCATCTGTTGGCTCCGTGTTCGTATGTTATCATCGCCGCCAGGGAAGTCTTTATGTTACTGTTGCCATTTTGGTATTTAAACCATCACACCTGTACTATACCAATTACGGTAATATTACGTTGCGTGTGACAAGGGGTTTCCCCATGTGGTACAATGTCATTTTTGTTCAGTATTACACAAATTAACAAATAGTGAAAACACGGATCAGGACTCTTTACCACACCTGCCGACTATACCACTAGAAATATCCATAATTCCCACACTACTAAATGTGAGCCCTAGTTTCCAGTACAGAAATATCCATAAATCCCACACTACTAAATGTGAACCTCAGTTTCCAGTACAGAAATATCCATAAATCCCACACTACTAAATGTGAACCCCCATTTCCAGTACAGAAATATCCATAATTCCCACACTACTAAATGTGAGCCCTAGTTTCCAGTACAGAAATATCCATAATTCCCACACTACTAAATGAGAGCCCTAGTTTCCAGTACAGAAATATCCATAAATCCCACACTACTAAATGTGAGCCCTAGTTTCCAGTACAGAAATATCCATAAATCCCACACTACTAAATGTGAGCCCTAGTTTCCAGTACAGAAATATCCATAAATCCCACACTACTAAATGTGAGCCCTAGTTTCCAGTACAGAAATATCCATAATTCCCACACTACTAAATGTGAGCCCTAGTTTTCAGTACAGGAATATCCATAATTCCCACACTACTAAATGTGAGCCCTAGTTTCCAGTACAGAAATATCCATAAATCCCACACTACTAAATGTGAACCTCAGTTTCCAGTACAGAAATATCCATAATTCCCACACTACTAAATGAGAGCCCTAGTTTCCAGTACAGAAATATCCATAATTCCCACACTACTAAATGTGAGCCCTAGTTTCCAGTACAGAAATATCCATAATTCCCACACTACTAAATGTGAGCCCTAGTTTCCAGTACAGAAATATCCATAATTCCCACACTACTAAATGTGAGCCCTAGTTTCCAGTACAGAAATATCCATAATTCCCACACTACTAAATGTGAGCCCTAGTTTCCAGTACAGAAATATCCATAAATCCCACACTACTAAATGTGAGCCCTAGTTTCCAGTACAGAAATATCCATAAATCCCACACTACTAAATTAAGATTACGCAATAACACAGAAGAAAGCTGTATGTTCCACATTTAATATTTATTAATCATATGTATTAACCATTCATTTGGATCGACCAAACTTCCTCTGAAACAGAAAACAAGCATTTCCCCATTCCACTGTATGTGACACACTCGCAATAACAATCATGTGACGTGCAGGTATTAAAAAGTTTTTGTCAGGCTTACCGTTTCATTCTCTTTTTTATCTTATTCTTCTTTGCATCATCATCTGAACTGCGACTATCAAATTCATCAGGGTAAAGCTCTTTGAATCCAGCATGGCCCCACCTATCATATAATGGAATGATCCAATTAAATATTATATGTAATGTACTCCTTGATTTTTTTTAAATTTCTCCAATTTTATTTTGAACAAAAATGCTAAATAACATAAGCAAGCACACCGATTAGGATCTTGTTCTTCGGCATTATAGAGTTTCTTCATCCAAAAGTTGCCATGGCTACCACCTCCAGAATTCTGTTCATAACTGATGTCACAGCGGTCATCATGCCCGTCACTTCTCATTGTATTGCCACGTTTAGAATACCTAGTAAAAACAAAGAGGATTATTTTTTTTACCAGTTTTAACCAGCGTGCTCTCTAAGCCGGTATGACGTGTAATTGACGCAAACAAATGTGTTGTGACATAAATAGGTATGCTAATAGACCATTTTCCGTTCACTGCGAGAATCACGCGTTATGCGTGAAATCGAACGTAAAAACAGGACAAACAAAGGTCATAGCGTCGTAGTGGCGTCAAACATCGTGTGGGATTCGACAAACGCAAAGTATTTTGGGGGACATTTCCATGCTTAATAATGTGCTGTCCACATTTGATGATAGGCAATTATGATTAAGTAACGGTATTCGGAAGCAATATTCCTCTGTCGAAGATCGGCCGGTCGATGTGAGTTACGAAATAAAGAAATTCTAGTTCAAAATCAAATCGTTCGACTTTGCGGCAGATGTTCGACGCGCGTTTTTCATACATCTCGCGAGATCTCGCAATTGTACGGAAAATCCCCAATTATAATTTAACGATGCTTATTAATAAAACAGGAAATTCAACGTTGATATAATGACATTGAATAACTTTAAATAATAACTTAAATTTTTTTAAATAAAAGTCACATTTTAGAAAAAACTAATTATTATTTTATTACATACCACTTACTGCTATTTTGTTTTAACTTAGATATTTAATTGACTCAATTGACTGTATTTTTCTGATTAAGTACTTAATTATTTATGTTGCCACACCACTTTCTTTTCATACTAGTTATTTATTTTAAGTGATAGGACCATGAACGAGACTAGTTCTGCTGAACTATTTTCATGGTCCACACCAGAATTATTCAAATTGTGTACATATTACCTTGTATATTAATTTTCCCCTTTATATATCTCAATTATTGTATACATAATTTTCTGGTGAAATCAATCAATCAATCAATCAAATGTAAAAAAAAATAAAAGCAATTCAGTCACTTACTAATTTAGTTTTTCTTGAAGATCGACAACTTGACTTGACTTTATTTTGGGGGATTCCATTTTGAATCAATACAAAATTTGTCCTGTTTGAGAACACACTGGTTCTATCTTGTTCAATACTTAGGACTACATGACAGGGCTGTAAAATACATCTTACCATCCTTTTCACATTATGACAATATAATATATAATAATCTCAGAATCAAATGAACACAAGAACACTACACCAAGCAACCTCAGACTAAGTTTCCCCCGAAGTCACATCTGTGACCGTAGTGATGAATCTCAGCCCTTGAGTCTATGGTCTGAAGTAAAACAAAAAGGGAAGTAAAGAGGAAGTGAAGTGAAGTAAAGAACCAACCTTTCATTTTCATTCCGTGCTAGTCGATACGTTTTCCACATCTCAGCTTCTTCCTGTACTTTGTTATGTGCATCTGTGTGACGTATGTAATTACGTAAAAGTTGTTTATTGACACCTGTCTTCGCCATGGCGATGATTTATTCACTTTTATTCCTGAAAAAGATCAAATTTGATTGTTAAATGAGAAGTTCAGGTTCATTGTTTATTTTCATGTTGCAATTTATACAATTTATATTTGACATACCGGTACACGTACTGCAGCTGTAGGTATATACCAGGTGACCAGATTTCAGAATGTAAATCACGTTCAATGGTGATGTATCTCGTTGAAGTGCACCGAAATGGCGCTTCTTGTTAATCAGAATTCAAGGAGTACTTTATTTTTCTGTTTGTTGTATACAATCATAGATATTTACAGAATACAATTTTAATGTTAGTCGGGCAAAATTTAAGAGCAATTCTTGCCAAAATGTTGTAGACGTGACATGTTTTGAGCAGCCATACAAGTCTTTAAAGTAAAAATGTCAATCATAGTGTTACCTGGTAATTCAAACTGTATGCAAGACTATATGTTGTGTTAAATATAGGTTTAACACATCTGATAATGTTTGTATTCATAGTAAAAAAATGGGCAGCTCATTCAAATTACATTTCCTGTGACGCACTAGTGCAAGCTATGTGATTTCATAGTAGTATAGTTGCACTATACAAATTTCTGAGTGTTTTTTAAGGTGCATATTTTTTCTGGAAAGACTTTTCTTTTTAATTTCTTATATATTATATTCAAATATTAATTAATTCAAAATGCATATGGGGATTAAACGAAATCAGATATCTTGTTTTTATTATGTCTATCTGATTTGCAGCAGAAAAATAAATAAAAGTGTGCACCAACATTATGTCATGAAAATAGGGTGGTTGTTGTCATATAAATAAACAATGTATTCTACACACACTTTATACATCGCTATGAGTCCCATATCGAACTTGATGCGGCACGACGACCACCTTTAAAGACCAGTGTTTCAATCGACAATTGTATTTAAAACTTCAGTCAGTTAGGCCAAAAAAAGTTATGCTTCTTGCCAGTGTACACATCGGCAAAAGCCTGAGTGCGGTCATTTTTTTTTTTTTTGCAACAAGACACTTCGCGATGGGCTTTTTTCGCAGTCAGTAATATTTACAAAAAATTGTGTTCACTATTTTTAAAAACTGGCTTGGCAATTCCCATCACCAATTACACTTTTAGATTTAGGCTTTGGATTTTTTCAACAAAGCTATAATTACTCTCGATAATTTTGATTACTTCCCATTTTCACTACATTTGAATTTTTGATAATTTTAATGGGTATATATATTTTAATGCATCTGTGTACACTCACAAAAATACCCCCAAAATAACAGAATTTAGAATATAGCCTTGACAAAAAGGCATTATTTTTCCTTGTCTAATAATGCATTTTTTCGAACTGTGTAACTTTATATGGAAATTCTAATGAGATTTAAAGTTCAGTTCACAACTAACGGTTTTGCAATATTAGAGCTTGTCAACTTGTCCATGGAGGCTGCAAGATTATTTTTATAAATATTGTATTCACTACATTTATTTTGTATTTACATTGACCATGAGGTCCACAGTATATTTTTCTTACTGATGTGACTGCAGTGACTGTATGGTGGACTCAGCAGTTTTTGTTTTGTTTTGTCGATTGTTGTCAGTTGTTATTTGTTTTGTGTTCTTGGTATTTTGTGCAAAAAAAAAAACAACGGTCAAATAGTACAATACAGTACAAGTACTTTGTTCTTCACAGTCACCAGCATAAATGTCGGATTGTTCGGAAGCATGAGATGTAATGTAAATTTCATTCATCAATGTTGTGCGATGACGCTATGATCTCCGAGTCCCATGTTGACTATGTTCCGGCCCATTTACTCACTGTCAGTGTCTGACTGATATATACAAAATGCGACCAAGTAAACGTCAGAATAGTAAAACAAAAAAGCAAGCTAAAAATTAGTTGCCCATGTCAAAAGAGCCGCAGAGCCAAAACATTGTGTCAGCCGTCGCCGTCCACAGCAGCTATATAATTTTACACATCAAAATTGAGAATCGCATGTGTAGACATATTGCATAGAAATGAACAATAAATACAGCTATACTGGCCAGCAATCGAATCATCAATCTGAATGAGTGATGTAACTGGTATTTCCATCTATTTGCTTCTATTCCCACTATCCTACAACACTCAAGTGAATGTTGTCAAATTCGCGAGTGTGTGTATTTTCGCACAGTGGCGTAAACATTGCTACAATCAAAGACGCGCTGAACAGGAAGTCTTACTCTATTCTGGACTAGTACCATTGTCATTTTTTGGAGAGTAGAGGACCATTTATACAGGGGACGCTCCAATAAGAAATTGTTAAAATTGCCGGATTGGCATATCAAAATCCTGTATTGAAACAGAACATATTCTGTATTCACAACGAACTAGAAACCAAAGAAACAGTCCGATCCCAACAACCTGCGCCCTTGAAAATCGAGTCTTATCGCCCTTGCGTTTCCGAGTGAAAATACGTCGATGCCAAAAACTGCCGATTTTCACCAAATCTTCTATGATTTTTTGACAATATCATAAATTTAGTCCACCGTTTAAATAGGTTATTAGATAGATAATAGGTTAGATAGGTATATAATTATTTCACCACCGCACAGCGCCCTCAGATGACGAATTGATGAATTGTCCCCATAAAATATTTTATAATAAACAAAGATCGCCTCACCGCCCCATTTATGAAAAACATTTTGGCAAGACCTTATGATTGAAAGACTAAATGAGAACAAAGTCCCGGCCTGCTATCATAGATTGGGTTTGTGTTGCGAGATATACAAATATATGGTGATTTTATTAAGGTTGACCTGACCCGCACCAACCATGAATTCATTAGATAAATTCAACGCAACCAAACACAATCGAAAGAACTATGGCGTGGGTCGACTGACAAATCTCCGGAAACTCTCCCTGTGAATGAAGCAAAAGAAACCTCACCACGATCAAGTCAAACGCCAGTCACATCCGGCGAGGAACTGTGCTGTGGTCCATCGCACTCACTAACCCGTGTTTCATCTCCAGCTCAATCACTGGATAAAAAACACCGTGACAGCAATACAAAAAAAAAGCTACAACTGAATGTGGTAGTTCAATCAAAACAAAACTTACTCTTAGACTTGAATTATGAAGAAACCTTATTCCTTACAACGGCAGCAGCATTTTCGAGTGGCGCTGTGATAGTCGGAATCGATGACGTCACATCAATATCAGTGACGTAGTACGCACAAGGAAACCCCTTTTCCCCACACACCACCACTAATCGACATTCGTGTGATTTCGTATTCCGGGTACCCCAGGCAACTTATCTTTTACATTGACATACTTTCAAACAGAACATCCGTGCATTCGAACGCCCGTTTTAGGTAAGTTGACTTTTACATGTAAACCAATCGTGTGGTAAACGAGCTACGATGATTCGACGGTTGGTCGAGAAAGGTGATCTAAACGATCGCCTCCGGTTTTTTTCAAACGCGGAAGTCATCTGAGGTCACGAATTAATACCTTATCTATGCCGTAAAGTCTCTGATAACGTCTATGAATTATGTTTGGATGTTAATTCTGAACTTTTGGAGTTTATCTGTCACTAAAGCAATATCAGAGTTTGTTAAAATTACACACAAAAATGATAAATACCACCGTTGTCAAGTACCTTGTATATCAAAAAAAGAGACTGGAAGATTGAATAAAACGTGATCTGCATAGACTAGCGATGCCGTTTGTCATAGATTTGTGGGATTGTTTATATATGAAAACACATCCTTGTAATAAATTAACAACAACACTGCTAGGTTTTCCACCGAATGAAATAAACAATGTTGCGAACTTGAAGCTTAATCATGTCCATACACGTAATTTATTGTTCGAGTCGATCGTGAGTTAATTTTATTGTGAGCATGCACCATTAAGCTATGGGAATTTTTTTATAGCTCCATGCACAGTCCCTCAACACCTTGAGGGACTGTGCTCCATGTAAACACAAAGCACTTCATGTTTTACTTACTTGAGGTCATTTTCTAAATGTCCAATCATCTCCTGTTTTCGAAGATTTTCTTTCAAACAATCCAATTCATTCGCAATATGAGGAGAATGAATTGGCTGTCATGGTGACAGCAAAGTGATACATCATTTTATAATTTTACAAACAAGTTATACAAGTTTAAATATTACTTATGTGGGTTAAGGGTAGCCATGAATGTAGTTTACTGTTTATTTCAAACAAGTTAAAAGACATTTATAAAATCAAAATGACGATGTAGTTATAGCCTCCAATATTTTTATTGCTAACTTTTTATAATTAACTTATGTTTAGTTATTGTGTTTAGTTATTAAGCCTAGTCATAATGTTTGACAAAATTGGTCATAGATCGCATGACAATGTTCTTTAGTTTATTATGTACAATCATGAAGCTAATGTCTCATGGTACAATGAAATAGCATTATTTTGTGTGTTACAGTTATGCTTTTTGAGAAACATGCCCTAATATTTCTTGAAAATTGTTATTTTTAGAAGAATTCCATAGAACACAATGTTAAAGAACAAAATTTTGACACTTTTTAAAACCCAGATTTTTTAAATAATTCAGAACAAAAAGTATCTCACCAGGCTAGATTTTGAGATATTGCATAATATCTCTGCCATAGAAACCTATGGTAAAAATGTTATAATAGTGACAAAATGGCGACTTTCCACTAAAATACAGCCATCAGTTTCTCAAAAAAAAAGGCTGGTGACCCCCAACTTGTTTTAGGTCAATATCGTTGTATTGCCTTGGAGTACAGTTTATTGCAAAATGAATAAATTCTGGGTATTTTAATTTACGAGTAGTTAACCGAGATATGATATATAAAAACTTAGTAACAGCAAGTAAAACCCCAAAAATATTCATAAACAAAAATAACAATAAAAGAAATATACGGTTTTATAGGCAGTTGTTTTTTGAATAATTATTTTTATGTGAATAAATCAGAATAATTAAAAAATATTATGTAAATAAATTTGAATATTTATTAAGTTTATGTGAATAAATTTGTTAATTAATTATTTTATGTGAATAAATAAGAATATTTAATGATTTTATGTAAATAAATATAAACATTTATTTTTATGTGAATGTATCTGAATAAAGTAATATTGATGTGCTTACAGACGTTACAGACATAATGGCGAGTGACGCATCTCAGGAAGATTTGATGAAACAAGCACAACACATATGGAGCATGCTGGATGAGTTATCAGATAGTGATCCTGAAGCTTACAAGAAATTCCTTGATAAAACCTTACAGGAAGGCATAGAAAATATGGCGCCCCCAAAGGCATATATGTGCATACATACCGATATGTTTGTAAGTATAACTATCCAAGGTTGAGTTGACCTCTGACCCAGGTTTGACCTCTGACATAGTTTTCTATTCTCTGCCCAGGGTTGAACTCTTTAAAGGCCCAGGTATACTATAAATACGCTTTTAAACAATAGGGATTATTTCCTTGCTTGTCACGCTGTAGTAAACAGCTCCAGCCAAGCTCCGGTAAAAACTTTCCTTGCACTTACAGGTCGATTATGTCGTGCCAAAATGGATGCATGTGACTATGAATATCACAGCAGTGACTGTGTGTAATATTTATGACAATAAATAGTGTATGAGCTGAGATTTTGGCGGATAAAAGTAAAAAACATGAGCCGAGGAAAGGGACGTGCTACTAATCTTGAATAATTAACTTCTGTCAATCAAAGTCATGTGATGTTGGACCGCTGAAACAGGATGCGTCATAGGCTATGCAAGTGATTAACAACCATCATTAGCATAGCCACACCCCCAATTCACACTTGCCCAGGGCAAGTAAATTGGGCCTTTAAGAGGAGATACAGGGGGTGAAAGTTTTTTAAAAAATGAACTTTCATGAAAAAAAATAAAATTTACTCATAATGGACCAGCATATCACATATAGTCAGTGTGAAAAACCTTTTAAAGGCCATTATTTTTTCCCACATGAATTTAGGTTCAACATTCTGCCCATTGTTTTGTTTTTTTCCTATAATTTTGTTTAAAATTGACATAATTAGCTATAGAACTTGATCAACAACAAAAATATTGAAAACAAAATTGTGTGGGTTTCCTATTGTTAAAGGTGACATAAGTTGACTTGTACTCAAAGGTTTAAATAAATAAATAGCTTTCAGATTCCATTTCCTAAACCTTTTTTCAAGAACGATTACAACCTGGATTAAGATTTATTGTGTTTTTTAACGCTTATTTTTTACTCCTGTGGGCAAAGCACACGATGGTGTGAAGCTACACTTCTGTGTGTGCGAGGCACACAATGAGAGTCTTTGCAGTTACTCTGTCTGTGTGTATGTCTGTTCCACAAATATCTAAAGAACTGCTGGTCAGATTTGAAACTTGGTGCATAGGTGCTATGGGACGATGTGCAGACCTGGTTAATTTGGGGTTGAAATCTGTACAATATTAGTCAATTCCATGCTTTTCTACTAATATCTCAAGTTTTAATCATCACATTTAAATGAAACTTAGCACATAGATTCACAGATCTGATTAGTTTTTGGTAGAAATATTTTTGGTAGAAATCTTTTATTTTGGCTAAGTTGCGCACCGATGAGAGACCACTGGCACGATAATGTTACACTGTATCACGTAACTTTGAAAGAACTGTAAATGCTGCATTCAATCAAAGAATCCTGAAAATGCGATTGCGAAACGGTCGTGCACACTATATTTGTAGTTTAATTCGGCTTTTGTGTAGTATGTCAAACTAAAAACTATGAGACACTATGAGATGCAAACAAATGTGGCTGTGTTACACTGGAACAACAATACCGATCTCTCATAGACAAGTATTTGGAAATCATCAGTCAGATAATGTCATTTCAAAGCAAACGTAATACAACTCTTTACAGAGTGCATGAGCTAGGGTGATCAATGTAGTGTAATTGATGCGGTAATTACAGGGATTGAAATAGAATTTTTTCCCTGCATGCACAGTGTGCATGTTGAAGTTGAAATTTACCTGCACTAACTTATTGTTTTAAAGTTTTAATAAAATTTACGGGTTCTCGATAGATGTGATCACGAAAGAATTATTTTTTTTTAGTTGTCTTACAATATTGGTTGAACTTAATTTAGGCTTAGTGAATATAATGAGAAAATGTGTTAATTTATACATGCACAGCGTGCACATTATATTTTGAGTTTACTTGCACTAGGTAATAATCTATGTACATAGTGCAGTGTGCACCAGAGTATTTTGACCTCTGGCCCATTCAATTTATATCTGATTTTTTGAGTTATCAGAAATTGAGAATTGGTACCAAAATTAGGTGGTTTATAGACATGGTTTTTGAACATTAAACTAATCATGTCTATTGGATGAATTATCTCAGGGCATTTATCTACCAAATTTCAATGAATGTGATGATTATGCATATTATGCAAATGAGTTAATTTAAGCATAGATGGATTTCATAGCCAAACTTTAATCAGTTCTTTGCAATATCATCTATGTACCATGTGATGATTAGTACTCAAGACAATCCGGTAGGATGATTCGTGATCCTCTCCGCTCAGAAAACACCATTTTTGTTGTTGATTACCATGTTACGACATGAACCTGATGAAGTTGACTAAGATCACTCATTCGTCACAAGTCACTTCACTTTATCACCAGCGTGTCTTTTTCTGTTCCCGCAAGTTGACCCTAAAACCAAAATTTGATAAGATGCTAAACTTGTTCCCTTTTTTTACCCTGACATGGTTACTAAAATTTAGTTACATTGCATCCATTCCCAGTATTTTGCACTTGGTTCTCTATAATAAACCAGGGATCGAAATACCCTTGTGCACACTGCACTATGTACATAGATTATTACCTAGTGCAAGTAAACTCAAAATATAATGTGCACACTGTGCATGTAGAAATTAACACATTTTCTCATTATATTCACTAAGCCTAAGTTAAGTTCAACCAATATTGTAAGACAATTAAAAAAAAATAATTCTTTCGTGATCGCATCAATTAAAACAATAAGTTAGTGCAGGTAAATTTCAACTTCAACATGCACACTGTGCATGCAGGGAAAAAATTCTATTTCAATCCCTGTGGGTGCTTTGAAATAAATCAGACTGCAAACTACAAGTTTCTGGTATCAAAGCCTAATCTTAAAATGTTGAGTACATTTTAAATACCGGTACGCCTTTCTAAGTTTTCTTTGATTTCTTGTTTTCACAGACTCCTCGGAAAGAAAAACTGTACGTGAATATTGTAAGCTGGGATAAAATTCCTGAACCAAAAACGAATTTCGATCCAATTCCTGTCACTGCCACTGATATAACACAGATAACAGAAGACAATGGTATCTATTGCTATTTTCTATTGTCATTGTATTTATTTATTGTAACAATATTTTTTGATATTTGAAAAATTCAATGAAATCCTACAGTACTAAATGATCTTCATACATGCTTACAGAACATCTGTGGTACACAATATTTATTTATTTATTTATTTATTTATTTATTTATTTATTTATTTATTTATTTATTTATTTATTTATTTATTTATTTATTTTTATTTTTTATTCATTCATTCATTCATTCATTCATTCATTCATTCATTCATTCATTCACTCACTCACTCACTCAATCAATCAATCAATTCATTTCAAATAATAACCAAAATTTATTGTCTTTTGTATTTTTTTTTTGAAATAGATACATTTTCAACTATTATATGTGCTTTCAATCCAAGTACACTCGATCAGTGTTGTAAAAATAGTAAAGATCAACATCTCTTGATTAACCTGGCGCTTGACTTGGTACGAGACAAGAATAAAGTAAAAATATCAAGAAAGTACGAACTCTGCTTTGATTTCAACTTCAAAGGTGACCAGCGTTTATTGAAAAACACCTTTAGCAAAAGTGAACCACAAGAGCAAGAAGGCAAAGATGTTGCAAGTTATATGGATAACCCAGAGTCTATGCTTCAGCATTTAGGACTATCCAAGTCAGAAGCAGGCATGTGCAAAGTGAACTTTGAAAAGAAAATGAATCTTGAGAAGAAGTCAAACTCGTCAAAAAAACTCATCCAGGAGATGGGGAATGAAGAGAAATTCGTAGAGCCGACATATGAGATATCAATCAAGGATGTCTCGGGAAAGAAGCCGAGAAGAATTGTTTTGAAAATTTCTCTTCCCGAAGTCCACTCAGTGCAAGAATGTGACCTGAATATATCAAAGGTATTTTATTCTATTTGTATTTTAATAGTGATAATTGCGCAATACTGTCAAGTGATAATTCTAATGTTCGACTATAATGCCCGAACTGGGGAGCAGCATGCACACTCTCAAGAATGGAATCCACTTTTAATCCATTATGATATGCATATTTATGACGATAAATCCTATTGGATATTTTTATTATTTCGTCTTCTATCTGCAATTTTATTTGTCCATGAACATTGGTTAAAAATGTACACTGAAACATAGTTTGTATATATGTGAATCTTTATTCGTTCTTAAAGGCCATCGGCCCATTTTACAAAAAATAAATACATACTATTCTTTCCTGAGGTCAAAGGTCACCTCATGTTAATACACTCTTGTCTCAGAATTTGTGCTTTATGTAAAAACATTGCTAGTTTTGCGATTATTTGGTCAGATTTATTTTGATAATATTTTATTAGACGCATAAAATCCTTAGGAAAGGATAAAAAGGTTCTTACAGAAAAAAATTTAAAAACTATAATCTAAAAAGAGAAAAAAAAAACTATTCTAAGAATATAAAACATATATACTGGAATAACATTTTTCTAATGTTGGATAAGTATATGACCATGAGGATAAATATTGTTTTCAAAGTTTTCATACAGAGGGCATTTTAAAACGAAGTGAATTCTTCTTCTATTTCAAGGAATTCACAAATTTTACATATTCTCTGTTCTACACACAGTCCCACAAATCTACCCTGTTTCTAGCCTATGACTAGAGCACCTGATACAAGCAAGAGCCCTTTTTAGTCCCCGTTCGGACGCAGTCCGAAAATGG